TCATTATTTTTATATTTTTAATATAAGAAAAGACATCTGTGACATCTCAGGTACGAGGGGCGTCCGATTTTAAAGGTACAAGCAAAAATTACGAGGGTGGTCTGAAAAGTTTCCGACCTAACAAAGATACAAGTCATTTTTTCTGAAAATTGTTTTTTATTTTTCAACATAGTCTCCTTGTAAATCTACACACTTCTCCCAGCGATGCTCCCATCTCTGTAACCCGTCGAAATAGTACTCGGCGTTTTTCTCTGCAAAATAATTGTTCACGAAGGTGATTGCCTCTTCATTTGACGAAAATCTCTGTCCTCCGAGCGCAATTTTTAGATGAGGGAACAAAAAGAAGTCGCTTGGGGCTAGATCTGGTGAGTAAGGTGGATGGTCAAGCAGTTCAAACCGTAATTCGTGGATTTTCGCCATGGCAACCGCTGAGGTGTGAGACGGTGCGTTGTCTTGGTGAAACAGGATTTTCTTTTTCTGCAAATGTGGCCGTTTTCCCGCAAGTTCTGCCTTCAGCTTGTCAAGTAATGATGCGTAGTATGCTCCTGTAATGGTTTTTCCTTTTTGAAGATAATCGATTAAAATAACTCCATGACTATCCCAAAAAACAGTCGCCATCACTTTCCCAGCCGAAAAAACAGTTTTTGCTTTTTTTGGAGCCGGTTCCCCCTTTGCAGTCCACTGTTTGGACTGTATTTTTGTTTCAGGCGTATAATGGTGTATCCAAGTTTCATCTACAGTAATTAATCGGCGCCAAAACTCGGATTTATTGCGCCTAAACTGCTCCAACAGAGCGTTGGAAATGTTCATTCGAACACGTTTTTGGTCTAACGTGAGCAAACGCGGCACCCAACGCGCGGACAGCTTTCTCATGCCTAAATGTTGATTTAATATGCGACAAACACGTTCTTTTGACATGTTCATAACCTCTGCTATCTCTCTCACTTTAATTCGGCGGTCGTCTAGCACCATTTGGTGAACTTTGGCGATGTTTTCGTCGGTAGTTGCAGTTTTTGGACGTCCTGAACGTTCATCGTCTCCCAAGCTCTTACGGCCACGTTTAAATTCAGCGGCCCAAAATTTCACTGTCGTAAATGATGGTGCAGAGTCCCCATACACAGAATCCAACTCATCTTTGATTTGCGTAGGCGTATTGCCTTTCAAAAACAAATATTTAATGACAGCTCGATACTCGATTTTGTCCATTTTCACAAAAACACTCACATCAACTTACTCAAACGACTGTTACATAACAACTGCGAGTCCAAAATGGCTGAAACTTCGGTGAGTAACTGTCAACAGATGAACAACGAAATTCACTAGCTTTTATTTACAAGTGCTGCTATCTTCACGTTGAGGTCGGAAACTTTTCAGACCACCCTCGTACACTAACATTTATATTTAAAGAAAATATTTAATACATTCCATAAAAAAACTACATACTTTTGTTTATTTCTCGACATAATCTCCGTAAACGTTGAGATATTTATTCCAGCATGACACTAGTTTGAACATCCCTTCACGGTATTGCTGCTTGTCAAGTCGCTTGAAGTGTTATTGAAGCTGTTATGACAGATATTCCGAAACTCTCCAGAAATTGCATACAGCCATTCGAAAAGGCCGGGACGATTACGCGAAGGAGTTAAACTTTTGCACGATGGCGCAAAACCCCACACATCAAATCACCAAACTGTGGTTGACACAACGGAATTGGGAGGTCCTGCAACATCCTCCGTATAATCCAGATTTAGCCCCCTCGGATTTTCATTTATTCGGACCTTTGAAAACATTTTTGGCAGGGAAACGCTTTGCGGATCAGGAAGAATTACAAAACACAGTTGTGAACTACTTCAAGCGACTTGACAAGCAGCAGTACCGTGAAGGGATGTTCAAACTAGTTTACGCTGGTTACGTTTATGTTCACGCTGGGATAAATGTCTCAACGTTTACGGAGATTATGTCGAGAAATAAACAAAAGTAGTTTTTTGTGGAATGTATTAAATATTTTCTTTAAATATAAATATTAATGTAATTTTTGCTTGTATCCTTAATATTGGACTCCCCTTGTATATACAGAGTGTCTGATGCAACCCATATGTTTACATACGTGTAGATAGAACTTGTCGAACTGAATGAAAAAGTTTTATACAATTTTGCAAACAACTACGATATATTAATTATTGATATATTAATTAAAAGAAATTGATAACTAACAAATTAAGTATACGTGATGCGGACGGATAAATTCTTTAGTCATCATGGATATAAGATTTTGGAAAGAGCTTGTTTCACTATACCATTTGCACTTATTCACTAATTTTATTTAATTGATAATTCAATAACTATCATGGTTATTTGCAAAACGGTACAAGACTTTTTTGTTCAGTTTGATGAGTTTTATTTCTACACGATATTCATTCCTATACAGCACAGAAGCTTGTAGTTATGTTGCAGGAACGTTACATCCAAGCAAACACAGAACATAACTGTGATATAACACAGGAGTAATATGTAATATAATATAACATGTTATATAAGAAGTCTAATGTTTACATTACATTTCAGTTGTGAAATATTTTTATACAAATGTAAAATTATATTTTAGATGTTTCTCGTATATAAAATATGATATTTTAATATATGCAAGGATTGTTATCATGATATTGTAAAACTAGAATTTTTACAAAAAGAGTCTAATCATAACTTTATTCTATCAAAATATTGTGAGAGAAAATGAAGGAATATTCTCCCTTTTGCGAGCACGTTGTAGATTAAAATTTGATTACTGATACAACATTGTATCAATATTAATCGCATTGTGATTGTTGTTACGTCGTATCAAACATTTACCAACAAATATGTCATAACATTTCTTGAATGCTATAAGAATATATTGTAAATATCATCTACCAAGATATCGTTACAGCACATCGGTATTAGTTCCCGTACGATCGTTGAAGTTAAGCATTGAACAACATGATGTAAAAATGGGGGTGCCGCTTGGCACAGGGTCGAAACTACGCGAATTTCATGAATAAGTGAAATGACACGAAATATGAAATGCCAGTTTTTTTTATTATTTAGACAAAATAATCATACATTATCACTTATCTGAACCATATTAATGAATAAATCGTTGGAATTCAACAAGAAAATATATGTGTTAATTCGCTAACGAATAACATATAACTTTTATATAACTTAACTTTTAATAACTTTTATATAACTTTTTAGTCACATGTTACTTTCATGTTACATTCACATTATATAACGTTATATAACTGTAACACATGTGAGTAGGAAATTACAACGAACGTCTATATAACCTACTACATACATGTTACATTGCATGTTACATTTCGTTTTATTACGGCAATGTAACTGTTATATATCTGTGTTTGCTAGGATCATTTCAAATTTCAACGTAACATTGCAGAAACATAACATAGACATGGAACTGTAATATTCCATCGGAAATGTTAAAACAATATTGCAGAAACATTATAAATAATTAAAAACTATAATGCTATAATTTATGCCTAATACATGTATGATATATGCGTTTTATATCTTAATCACAGAAATTTAAGTATGTAACCGCGATGCGTCGCGTACCGGACTACGCTTGCCGGTTCGAGTTCTTAGGAGGCGGAATAATTTTGAAACAATAGATTCCAAAAATAAGCTTAGTCGTGTATTTAAAATCAGCTGCTGCGATACATTAAATCAGATATTCGATGTCGACGCCGTTGGTTTTCGGTCGATTGTATACAAGCCAGAGGTGTTGTTTAGGTGATGGCTCGCAAGATGCTGTGCGCGGTGCGCGAGACGCGGACGGTGTTGTTGTCGCGTCGTGAGTTCGTCTGTTGACGTTCTTAACTTCTCGTCTTTTTAATTCCGTTTGACAATTATCTTTATTCGCTGCTAATCGATGCAGCACGGTAGAAACGGTATTTCCGCGGAACTGCAGTCGGTGTATCGCCGCGGTGGCGGTATCTCGGATACAATGGTGCTTCTAATATCGGCAATTCGTTGTGTGCACCCGAATGCTGCTGCTGCAGTCCGTCCGTGTACATGGAACCTTAGTCGGTGTTGTTGCCTTAGCTGTCGAACGAGACCGGCTCGTTCTCGTGCTAGATTTCGGATGCGGTATATGCGGTGTCGCGGACTCGCCTATGCGTCGCGGTAGCGGAGTGATCCCGATCTTGCTTCCTGAGAACGGTCTCTAGTAACTCGGAGACCGACTCGCGTCCTTGCGAGTCGGCGACGGTGTGATTCTGTCGCGGATCCTTATGACGCGGTGTCGAAGCTACGTTGCAACGGAGCGAGGCTTCGCTTATACGGAGATGAGTTCGCACGTTGCGATTCGATAGCGGTGTGATCTCGCTCGTGTTAAGGCGAAGGCGAGATCCGGTTAGCGGTGTGAAGGTTGCGTTAAGCGCTCTTCCGGTGGATTGATTCCAGGCCCTTCGGTAGCCGTGGAATCTTCTGGATTACGCAAGTTAGTTCAGTGTCGGCGTCACGTATCCGTGAGCCGATGGCGGAGTGATTCCTGTCACGTATTCGCGAACGGAAATCCACCAGGAACGGTATTCAGAATAGAGTCGGTGTCACGTATTCGTGAACCGACGGCGGAGTGATTCCTGTCGCGTATTCGCGAGCAGCAATCTGCCAGGAACGGTCTTGTAACAAGGTCGACGTCACGTATCCGTGAGTCGACGACGAAGTGATTTCTGTCGCGTAGTAGCGAACAGAAGTCCACCAGGAATCGGTGTTCGAGAAGATGTTGCAGTAATTTCTCTCAGAGGTTCGGATCGTATTCGGATCTTTCGGAAGAGCGGATGATCGGAATCTGTTTTCGAACAAGAATTCGCGGCGCTTTATATTTGTGAATCACGCTTGTTGATTCGCTATTTACCGCGGATGTTCGGCGGTCTCGGTGTTTACCGGAAGGACGCATTGTCTTTTCGCGTTTCTTTTTCTTCGCGGTCGCGTTGTTATGCGTTTCTCTAATCGGTTTAGTAACGATCGCTTATGTGGATCATTACAAGTATTCACTTATGTCTATATTTTCTTATATCTTTATTATGCCTTCATAGCGTCTGCATGCTGCATTATCTATTGGTCTGTTCTTTTCAACTGAAGTGGCTACGCTAGTTAAAAAATTTATATACATATTAAAGCATATAAAACATATGTACGAAATTCTCATATTTTAGTCTGTGTATATTTCTTGAACTAGTGCAGTCAAGTCAACTAAAAAGAACAAACCATATTACGTGCTACCTATACTTGTATATTTAACAAAAAAACGCAGTTTAACTTTATTATGAGCTGCTAGTAACTTTGTAAGATTTTCTATTGAATGACATTGGTGGTTTACGCCAACATGTTTACTAAGCAGTCGCTATTTCTTCTAACATATGTTAAAAGTATATACTTTTAACACGTCGGACCACTTAATAAACAGGATGGAAAAGTGTTAACCGCTAAGTATCTCTTAACAGAAATTCTTACAATAGTTACAAAACTACTAACAGTACAGTGGAAAGCTGCTTCTTCTGCTCAATGCAACCATTATATTACATTTTACCGTAACGTTGCTACAATGTTTCATTACAACGTTTCTAAGAGCGGGTATTTCAACATTGCTGCAACTTTGCGGCAATGTTGCATCAATGTTTCATAACATATATGGAATGTTACAATGTTTCCGTGTAATATCTATGCAATGTTCCTGCAATCTTTCTATGCTGTATAAGTTATATAAAATGCCTTATATAATTTACCGTTTGATCGCAAAACGGTACACGCCGAAGAGATTATGATATAAATTTGTTACATTGTGCACCAGTCAAAGAATAAGATTGCTCGTGACTGAAATTATTATTATTATTATTATTCTATTATTTTTTGTTGATAATATTCATATCGGCTGCAGTTTGTAATTTATAGTCATTATAAATGGCCATAATACAAATTTTAATGACTATAACATTATTCGCATGATATAATAATCCAAAAGAGATATTAAAAACTTGTAAATTAAAATGTGTTTCAAATGTTTGTGTTGCATGAAAAGCGAATTACACATGCTGACGCTACAGAATAGCTGTACATTATTCCATACGCCAAAATACGTTGCGATATAATTGCAGGATAGCTGTAATTGTTTGCTTATACAAAAGTTTTATTAGACTAAATACATCTTATGTCTTCGTTATACTTATAAAACAATAACACACCTAATCGTAAATCTACTTTTTAATAGAGAGGATCGTGTCGAGGATATAGGAAAAAATAAGGAATAAGAAATGGAAAAAGGAAAAGAGAAAATAATGAAGCAGAAGAAGAAACATACGAAGAAAGAAACGGAGCTTAGCTTAAGACTATTATCGATAATATAGCCAATACAATGAGAGCAGCGAGATCTGATCAACTCAAGAATGGAAGCTTGTTCTCGATGGGTGTCCTCAGGTCCGAAGAATCGAAGATCCTAGAAATAAAGAAGAGGAAGAGAAAAAGGAGGAAGAGGAAATGACGATGTTCGCGTCGATGAACGTAGCTGATATAAAACGGGAAGCGGACGAGTGACCTCGACGATTTCATACGATTCCGCGGATGCCAAAAAACCTGGAACAATTAATCAACAATAGAATATAACTATAGATATAATTACGATAGATATAACTACGATAGATATAACTTTTTTGTGTCGAATTATAAAATATAATTATAATAAACTCAGTCTGCATAAAATAAATTATAAAAAACTTAATAAATTTCTTGTAACTTTTTATGCATGTCAAAAATTCACAAATATCAAGTAGTTCGGATATATGAACTTTTAAAGATTAAGGTAATTTTTATAATGATTTTAACAATTCTCAATATAGGAACTGCAAATACATATTTGTACGATGTATTATTAGGTGCTTGCAAAAATACATATGATATTAAAGCTATCATTATTTAATAACGAGATAACATATAATATTTTAATCAAAGTATTGATTGTTGCTGTCAATAATTTTGTGTGATCTTTCGGGCAATATTTTGATTCCACATCAATAAAATGACTCATCTTTTGAGGCAATCTATTTATCGATCCATTTTTGCATTTCCTCAGCATTTCGGAACCGTATATCACATAGACCGTGTTGCATCAATCTGAATAGATGAAAATCAGATAGGGTAATGTCTAAAGCGTGCGCTGGGTGCGGCAAGACTTCCCAATCTAACTTGAACAACGTCTTTTTAATCGCAATATTAATATGCAGTCTAGCGTTGTCGTGAAGCAAGATGACTTTCGATTCGCCGTTATTTGAGGGCGTTTCTCTTTCATTGGTTAGTTCATAAAACGCTATAATTGTTGACTGTAGCAATCTCCTGTAATTGTTTATTTCGATAATTCACCGATAGTTCATATAAAAACACTTTTTTAGTCCTACTAGATACATAGGAAAACCTTATGATTGAGAATATTACGTTTTGTTGCATTTTGTTGCAGATATCGGTGATTGATCAAAATTAATCCATGATGTTGTGTTTAGAATTGTCAGAATAAACCCACCTCTCATCACCCGTAACTATTTGTCACCAAAAAATTTTTTTGTGCCTGGTAAGCAATGAGAGACATGATAAGCCGGTTCGCAATCGCATTTGCAGAGAGTCATGGCCAGAAGCTACCTTTTTTTTTTTCTGAATCTTTTGCATTGCTTTCAAATAGAGAGATATTGTGATTCGTCAATTCCAAGCTGTCTTATAAACCTTTTTAATGTTTGAGTCGAGTTTTTATTAAACAATGTTTTCAGTTCATTATTTTCCATTTTGTTTGGACGACCAAAACGTGCTTTGTTATAGATATCATAATCACTATTTCTATTCTAAACTTTTTAAACCACTTGTCACAGACAGCGAATACAATATTCTTTCTATATATCTCACAAATCAGTTTTTTAATTATTACAATTGCTTAATCAGTCTTTTAGTTGTTACAGTTTCATTTCGATTAAATCAAATAGTGACGAAGATGAACTTATCTGATTCTATTTTCAATTGCGTTAAATATAACGTTCTGTTCGAACAATAAATTATCAATCATTAATTCTGAACAATGGACAACATTTAAAAATTAAAAAGTAATATAAAGGAGAACAGTTACTATAAGTCGCTGCTACAACCATTTATTTATGACCTTACGAAATTTTACAAGTACCTAATAGAAGAAATAAGACTTTAATATAGAGTCAAAAATAGTTTCCTGATTTCTAAAAGTTAAAGGCATTACGTACCTTTTTGAAGGAAGTAATGAATCTTTCAAAATATTTAATAAGGTACTGTCACGACATCATCCAAATAGTAAGCAGTCGTTATTTTGACGTAAATATCCATTCATAATTGATCAGTAACGTCATACATCGATTAAGTGACATATATTTAACATCATGTTTTAATACATTAAGGAAACTTAGCAATGATGATACCATATAAAAGTTTAATTGACCATGTGTTATAAGTAAATTTATTTTTCGAATAAAATAATATTTTCTATTCTTAGTGACATATGTAATAATTAATTTTAACAATAATAACAATATTTAGCGATGTCTGCTGTTGTATGCTTGTATATTAGATCAAATTGAACAAAAAAATCCTCTACCATTTTCCAAATGATCATGTACGTGTTTAATTATTAATTAAAGAAGATTGATATACAGTTATGCACAATAATGCAATTTTCTTAAAGTAAAAGTTTTATAAAGTGCAGATAACATTTAAATGAATATCTTAAAATGCTTAAACTGTATATCCTTTACGTTAAGAAATCCTATTAGAGATTTTGGAGAAAGATCGTGATATCAATCAACTATTTTTTTGGATTAACCGTTATAATATTCCATTAAAAGTTTAAAAGTAATCATAGAAAATCACTGAGTCATTAATGTATCCCATGTATTAATGTATGTCATTATGGCTGCATCCCACAATTCATTGCTAGCGATGAAAAACTATAGTTTATATTATGTATATTACAGATTTTCAGCACTATCAATAATTTTAATATACTATACTAATATTCATCGTATATTGAAAATTATGTCGTTTTAGTAATTGTCAGTTGTTTTAGTAATTGTCAGTAAATATATTTTAATGTTCTGTAAACACTAGGGAGACATTATATAAATACAAGTGATAAGAACCCTAGTTAGAACATGTTGATTCAAGGTTGATTCAACGTCGACGAAGATTGAATCAACATTGATTCAACAGCTCATCGATTATTTCGACGTCGAATCAACCTTGAATCAGCGTTATGATTTTGACTAGGGCATCGTCGGAGTCATTAGAATCGCCGTATGCCGTTCGATCGTTAAGCAACGCTTTTTAAGCGCGGTACATAGTAGATGGTGACCGGTGCCGCTTGGATCAAAACTATTGAAGGTAAAATATGCGAAAGATTTAGAGTGTGGGTGTGACAATCTTCAATTTTCAGCTATCTCAAGATACGAAAGAATTAGGAATAATTTTTTTATATAACAGCTATATAACATTTTGGTAAAATTTCAGATTCCCAAACAGCACACGATATATCTTTCTATATATCTCACAAATCAGTTTTTTAATTATTACAATAATAAGGTGGTCTTTGTTTATTAAAAAATTATTAACAAAAGAAGTTGATTATTTAGACTGTAGTTTTCCGATTGTATGTATGTATATATCATATCTCAAAAAACTTACCTTTTAAAAAAAGATAAAAAAAAGAGTGCCTAGTTCTTGTGCTCCGTAAAAAAAGAAGACTGTCATACAAAATAATCCGTATAAAACATTATATTACAAAATAATTTGTACAACAAACTGTACTACTACAAAATTACTTTTCTACTACAAAATTAATGATATCAGGAAATTTGCGCCAAGTGAATATGATTAATTATAACATATCTTTATATCATTTTTTTAATCACTATTTGACTATTTATTAGACTTTGTTATGTACCTATTTTTTATATGTTATATCATTCTGTGTTAGGTATATGTTTAAACGAGTTTGTTACCATTATTCCGTATAATGGTAACAAACTCGTAGATTGAAAAAAGAATTTTATTTTTCTATTCTAATACGGTTATTTATTTTTAATCTGTATTTATATTTGAAATACATATTTTTTTCTATTCTTATTTAGAATGTGTCCAATTCAATGCAAATTGAAATAAAATGTATATGTCAGTTATTGCAAAAAAGTATGAATATAAAAAAAAGAATAATTTATTAATTACTATATTTAGAAGACCACCACTACCCCCGTTATTTGTTTTTGTTTATTGACACAATCCTCTTTATTGATATAATTGAACAAGAAAATACAAGAAAATTATATAAATATTCTTAGCATTCTTTAAAATTTTCGTTATAGTTTGTAGCATAAACTAATTTTAAATGCTAGACAACACATACACATACACACACACACATACACACTCTGTATCTCTTTTTCTCTCACATACTTGTACTCGTGACGTTATCGAGATCTGTCGTGCTGCCATGCTGCCGTGCTAGCGGAAGATTGTTGAAGGAGCATATTTGGAGAGCCATTTCGCCGTTCAGCGAGTGGCTTCGCGTAAATATATCACCGCCGCTCAGCGTTACGGTGGTGGTTGCGCCCAAATTAGGCGCTCAAATCACAGCCATGATTTTTTATACAGACATCTTACTAAATGACCTCCGCTCAGCTGCTCCCTCCCACTACGTGAACACTAAAAAATGAATAACTTAGAATTAGGAGTTATTTATGAACTTTTGATCCCCGCTAATCCAAAATTTTGAGCTTATTTCTCTAAGCAGGAATTTTGATTTGTAGGTGGGACGCTGAGTGAACTTTCATTCAATCCCCCAACTTTTTAAAATTGCATAAACGCAATCAGGATAAGAGTTGAATTAGAATCTAATTAGAAGATCGCAAACAAGCATCGTTTTGATTTTTGAGCTTTATCACTTAACCCTTACCCACTTACCTTCGTAACAGTTACCCTTTAAACAGTTTACTCTCCAGAGATAACTCGTAAAAAAAGAACTTAATTCATTACAACTTTTTTTTTTCATTAATATTATTAACCGATTAATACACAAAATATATAATCTATGATTCTTGAAAATTGCAACTCCTTGTTAGGAAAACTACCCTTTACAATCTGAGTTCAAGAGAGAACTATACTTAAACACCGATAAACAGGTTACCGCTCGCCAGGAGATATTCTCTGCATTTATAAGCTCACGAAATATATATATTTTGATTTTTGCGCTGCAACCTTGGTAGGAACATCATATGGCACAGGCGCAAGAGTGAACTATCTTCAAAAATGAATAAATTTGTTGAGATCATTTTTCAAACAATCATGTAAAATTTCGAGATATTAATTAAAATATTTGGGCAAATCAGAGCACGCCGCGACCAACGAAGAAAATTGGCGATTGCTTGCAGGCCTATATCATAGGCCTAGAGGTGGGGACTACGTCTTAGATCTGGCACTGCGTAATAGACCTGCGAGTAATAGTCCATTTTCTTCGCCAGCCGCGGCGAGCCGTATGTTCCGCTTGCGGCGTCGCGCGTTTTGATTTGCCCAACTATTTTAATTAATATTTCGAAATTAATATTTTGAAACGTGGTTGTTTGCAAAATGACCTCTACAATTTTTGTTCACTTTTATCTGTTTTTCTTATATTTTTCTTTGGGCACGTCTTACGCGGGACACCCTGTGTATATATACAGGTTGAGACATTTTAATTGAACCAGGCAAATATCTCGAAAAATATGGAAGATACGGAAAAATATTTCAAACAAAAGTTGTATGGTTCGGAGGGGGACATAAGATGGTGTAATTGGCTTGACCCTGGATAGTCGTTGAAAGTCACGTGAAGGTCACCTTTAATTTCTTAAATGGAAACCTCCATTTTTCTCATTGCATATTCTTGTAGCTTACCTTGACAGCTTTTCAAAACACTATAATAAAGTATTTTTTCATTAAGTACTTTTCGAGTTATAAGGTTTGAAAGTTACAGTACCGCCGATATTAGCATTATCCAAAGTGTACCACGCAGAGGTTGCCCGGTCGGATTTACACCTCTGTGCGTGTTATAGGTTGTACCTGTTATTTTCATTTCTACGTAAAAATGAATTTTGTCAAATGGTTAGGGTGCACACGCACATGCCTTCTCCCTGTGTGCACATTCTCTTCACTCGACTCTCGCGCGATACTCGTCCTCAAACGTTTCATTAACAAGTAAGCAAAACGCTACCTCGTCACTGTAGACGTGTCACTTTAGGTGCACAAAAATTAAAAAAAGAGTATTAAAATTAACACTTTGTTTCCTTAACAATAAACATGACTGATTATTCACCCAGTGAAATTGTCAACATAACAATTGAATATGGAAGGGCCAATGTAAACTACAGACAATGTGCTCGTCAGTATATTCTACAGTATCCAGATCGTCGAAGTCCCAATCATACTACAATAATGAAAATTATTAATAGAGCTCGTGACTACATTATGTCGCAAACGTAGAAAGAAATCTTTAACTGACGCTAATGATTTGAATAGTTATTTTAGGGATTGTAATAAATTCTCAGATTGGTCAACGTACAATCAGTCGAGAACTCAATGTTTCTCAGTCAACTTTCCGGCGAATTTTAAGAGCGAATAATTTTCACGCTTATCACATTCAACGAGTTCAGGCATTTACTGAAAATCAAAAACAAAAACGCGTTGAATTTTGTCATTGAGGATTGGAAAAATTAGAAGAAAATCCGACTTTATTTTATGAGGTTTTATTTACCGACGAAACAACATTTCAGAATACTGGAGAATTGAATCGTCATAATTGCCACTTTTATTCAGATATTAATCTATTTTGGGTTCGTCATGTAGATCGTCAGCATCAGTGGAAAGTAAATGTTTGGTGTGGCATTTTGGATGGCCAGGTTATTGAACCCTATTTCTTTGATAATAATATTAACCGAATAATATATTTACAGTTCTTGCAAAATAATCTATTCGAATTGTTAGAGGATATCAATTTAGGAACTAGGGATCGCATGTGGTTTCAATACGATGGTGCTCCTCCGCATAAAGCTGCCATTGTGCGAGACTATTTACATCAAAGATATTCTGAACGCTGGATAGGATACAACGGTTATATTACATGGCCTCCAAATTCTCCTAATTTGACATCTTGTGATTTCTTTTTATGGGGATACGTTAAAGGGTTTGTTTTTGCTACGGAACTGACAATTCCGGTCGATATGAGAAATCGCATGACCAGAACTTTGGCAACTATTCCCGAAGAATTTCTTCAAAAGACTACTATTGCATTGCGTCATAGATTCCGAATGTGTATTGAAGTGAATGGTGATACATTTGAAGAAATGTTATAAGACGTAAATCGTGGCGTGTACGAGCACATGCAAGCGCGCGCACGCACGCATGCACACACACATACACGTACACACACACACACACTGTTATAATCGCGAATAGTATCAGCGCTTTCGAAACACTTCTCGAGGAATTGTTTCGATTGCGCCACAATAAGGAAGCGGATGTGCAAGTGCGGCGATAAGCACCACCTTGCACATTCCGCATTGAGGACCTCAATTCTAAACGCATTACACCATTACCAAATATGGTAATGTTTTTGTCGCCAGGCACCCCCTCCGACAAGCCTAAAACAATATTATAAAAGAGCGGAGAAGACCTCCCGCGTTAGACTTAACACCTCGGTCTCTCGCCGCGACATACGCGACCAACGCGCGGTTCGCACATTAATAATAAGTACGGGAGTAGTAATTAAAACACATACAAGTGTATTTATCAAATAAACCTTTTTATATTTAATACTACAAGAAGTAGTCCAAATCTTTACTACATTTTATCCACCGCCACACACCCTGCCGCGCCCGCATCATCGATCTCGAACTCTTTTCGTGTCCTGGCAACACGGGCACGACAATACACACACACACACACACACACACACACACACACACACACACACGCGCGCACGCACGCACGCACGCACGCACGCACGCACGCACGCACGCACGCACGCACACACAGCAGCAGAGAGGGTTTGGAATCATTAAATAATACGGGAGTGACGAACCGTGGAGTCTTTATCTCTGCTGTGACACACACACATATACAAAAGGTGTAAATCCGACCTTCGTGGTATATCTTGGATAATGCTAATACCGGCGGTACTGTAACATTCAAGCCTTATAACTCGAAAAGTACTTAAAGTATGAAAAATACTTTATTATAGTGTTTTGGAAAGCTCTCGAGGTAAGCTACAAGAATATGCAATGAAAAATGGAGATTTCCATTTAAGAAAATGGACGAGCGCACACGTACGCGGACGCACACAATCCATTTTTACTAACCCATTTTTACAAAATTTAAACGTCTATGTAAATTCAAATCTTCGTTGAAACACAATCAACGTAGGCCCTGGACATCGATGTATGTATTATGTCGATGAACACAGGCCTGGTGTGAACAATTTAATTTTATATGAATGACTACTAATTCAAATATCTTAAAAAACAAACCACGATCAATTTTGGTTTTTAGGTCATGCTAGACTTGTAAGCGGTTCGACCTTGAAATGATCTTTAAAGGTCATTTCGATTCTTAACATAACTTTAAAGTTTCTATTTAAAAAATTAGATTTGACCTTCAAATGACCTTGAAGGTCAAGGTTAAAATAAAATTGAAGGTCACCATCCGATGTCCCCCTCCGAACCCAACAACTTTTGTAAGGGTTGGGTTGGTTGCTCCCCGACAAGATATGTATTCAGGTGCGTAATTTCAAATATTTTGTTCTTAAAATAACTTCTGAAGGTCATTCTAAAGATCCTCAAACCCATCTAAACGTAAAGTTTTGCGCTCTTTCCGAATCCGGGGTAAAAAATAGGGGTTTCTATTTAAAAATTCGATTTGACCTTCAAATGACCTTGAAGGTCAAGTTCAAGGTGAAATTGAAAATCACCAT